GATGGGAGAATTACCGAAGCAATGTCCTTGACTAGAAGAGAGGAGATGGAATCTAGTGTAGAGGTGGAAGGGCTAGCATTAAATAGAAGTCAGGTGGTTGATCCACAGGTATCAAGAGAGAAAGTGGGTACAAACGCAGACAGTTGGGGAAATGTGGTGGTAGAAATATGTGGAGTTGATAATGGTTGCTTCCATTTTTCAGTGCAATAAGGAGCTAGGTCATCAGCCAAGAAAGAAAATGAAAGAGGGGCCAGCCCAGTGGCCAAGTTGTTACGTTCGCTCATTCTGCTTAGGCTGCTCAGGGTTCACCAGTTTGGGTTCTGGGCGTGGATCTACACACCACTCATCAAGCTATGCTGTGGTGGCATCCCACATAGAAGAACTAGAATGATTTACAGCTAGGATATACAACTATGTACAGGAGCTTTGGGGAGGAAAGAAAAAAAGAAAATGAAAGAGAAGGCCTCAGAGATTTGAGGAGACAAGAGAAAATACAAAATTATTGTCCAGGAAAGTCAGAGTGAATGGATTAGAGAAATACAGTCTGTTTGCCAGGCAGCATTATGGGGCCACTTGAGGTTAATGATTATTTAAAGTAAGACCAGTCAGCAAATTTGAATGTTTTCCTGAAGCCAAATTCAGCTGCCAGGGTGCAGCTATGGAGTAGACAGAGAAAATTAGATTTAAGCTGGGCTGTAATCAGCCAAGAAGTACTTCAGAGCAAGAGAGGAGCAAATGAGTTTGAGTTGAGGGCTTATGCAAGGGACTGACTATGATTATTGACCATGGAATTGAAACTGGGTTGCAAAGGAAGTGAGGACATGAAGGGATGAGGGACAGTAATAAGGTAGTAGAATCAATGTAGTAAAAGGTCCCTGTGGAGATCAAAGTGTTGTTGGAGATGGAGTTCTAGCGGGAGTCAGCTGTAAAGAGGTGATGTTTGGAGAATGAGTTATTTGAAACTGAGATTATGAGTGGGTCACAGGGGTTTGTTTTTGTTTTTGTTTTGCGGTACTAACAAGATCAAAGGTATGACTAATAGCTATAAGATTAAATCACTGAAGGAGAACAGATAAAAACATTGTGAGGCCAGGTGTTGGAAAGATCTTTATGAATATTGAAATATCTAGGGATTATGACAAGTACAAAATAGAGAGACAATGAGCAAGGAGAAGGTAAAGGACTGCAACAGAGAGGGCCATGGGTGGTATATAGTCTAATGACAGGAGACTTCAAGTTGAGTGTATTAGACAGTAGGGGAGAATAATCTGAAAGTAGCATTGAGGAGTGAGGAAGACCCCCACCTCATTTCCAGGCCAAGTGATAAGGGGAATGTGGGAGTTAAAATAGACATCATTTGAGAGGACTGCAGGCAAGGCAGTATTATCAGGGGAGAGCCAGGGGTTAGTTATTGCTTTGTATATTTTGCAGTTACATTGTTATAAGCACCTATATTAACAATATACATGCATTGTATTATCTGTATATTACATATTCTTGATCTGCTGTCTCCCTTTGTCCCTAGTGATGCTTTTTGCCTTGAATCTATTTTTGTCAGATATTAGATGTCTGCTTGGCTTTCTTTTGGTTCATATTTGCCTTTTCCCTTCTTGTTTTAACTTGTCCTATCCTTTCTTTTAAATATGTCTCTTGTAGACATTATATTGCTGGATCTTGTTTTTTAATTCAATCTGAGATTTCTATCTTTTCTTTGGTGAATTTAACTACTATATTAAATTGCTTTTATGTTAGAACTTTTTATTCCATTTCAGTTTAAATTTTCTTTCAGTTTTTCTTTTTGCTTCTTGCTCATTTCCTTGGATATGAGCAAGAAGTTTTTGTTAAGGGCTTGAAAGGCTTGCATTTTATATTTGTTCTTCCGTTGGTTATCCATAACTTGTTAAGACTCTTACTTCTGTTTATTTTTCCAAATTATGAAACTTATAAACATAGATCTTACCTTCTTTCTTAGTAAGACAAGTACTTTAACACATACACTCTTACCTGTCTCAGATGTTGTATTCTGTCCCCTACTTTGTTATATTTGGTGTATACATATATATATGTACACACACACACACATATATATGTATGTATATATATATATATAATTATTTTTTAGACAAACTTTACAGTTATTTTCTCATTTTTACTATCTTATATTTTTATGGCATTTCCTAAAATTTTTGTTTGTTAGATTGCTTTATCCAAGAGTAGTTTCAAAGAGGATCTTTATGATAATCTGCTGAGACCTTGAAGGTCTGAGAATATATTTACTGTACCTTCACATTGAAATGATAGCTTAGCTTAATATAAAATTTTAGAGGCAACATTTCTTTGTTCAATATTTTGAAAATACTTCTTTATTATTTTCCTGCCTCTAATGTTGTCATTAAGAAGTCTGACATCATACTAATTCATTTTCTTGGTGGGTGAGCTGCTCTTCTTAGAAAGTCCTTAGAATTTTCTCTTTGCCTTTGGAGTTCTTAAAGTTCATTAAGATATCACTAAGTTATTGTTTTTCCATATCAACGCTATCATACCATACACCTTTTCAATATCAGTCTTTCTTTGGAAGTTCTCAATTGTTTTTTTCTTTTCTTTTCTTTTTTTTTTCCTGCTTTATCTCCCCAAATCCCCCTGGTACGTAGTTGTATATCTTAGTTGCAGGTCCTTCTAGTTGTGGCATATGGGACACCGCCTCAACGTGGCCTGACGAGCAGTGCCATGTCCGCGCCCAGGATTGGAACCCTGGGCTGCCGCAGCAGGGCATGCAAACTTAACCACTCGGCCATGGGACCAGCCCCTCAATTGTTTTTTTCATATGTCTTCCCTCCATTTACTTTTTTTCTCTTCTGTTAGCACATATAAATGCTGTCATTTCTATATCTAGCCTCCATATTTCTTAATTTTTATATTTTTCATCTCTTATTCCTTCTTAATGTCGTCTGCAAAAATTTCTTGACCTGACCTTGGGCTATGTCCATTTTGCTATTTATATCACCTAATGAGTTTATTTCAACAGTGTTTTGAATATTCAGTAATCCTACTTGGGTCTTTATAATTATTTGTTTCTGCTTCATTATCAGTATCTATTCAGAGACATTTATTTGGCTTGTATTCTATTAATTCTTGTCATCTAGAATAGGATATTCAGTTTATTGCTAATTGTCTAGTTCTTTTTCCGTTTTTTTTTTTTTTTTTTTGAAGATTAGCCCTGGGCTAACATCCATCATCAATCCTCTTTTTGCTGAAGAAGATTGGCCCTGAGCTAACATCTGTGGCCATCTTCCTCTATTTTATATGTTGGACACCTGCCACAGCATGGCTTGATAAGTGGTGCATAGGTCTGCACCCGGGATCTGAACCAGCGAACCCCAGGCTGCCTAAGCAGAGTGCGCAAACTTAACTGCTGTGCCACCGTGCTGGCCCCTAGTTACTTTTCTATTTCTAATTGTCTAGTTATTTTTCCCCGTGAGGTCATTTTTTTTTCATGGGTATCAGTTATCTTTGTAGGTAACAGATGGAGAAAGGGATAGGAGGAATCAAAAAGAAGGCCTTAGCTTGTGCCACTCCTGGTGATTGGGGGAGTCCAATTTTGAATATCCTCATGTGTGTCATTCTCATCAGAAGGCTTTGCCTCTTAGCAAACTTCTCTGTACCTTACCCTAGGCTTTGTTCTTTTCTAAGAATGTATTTGTCTAGTTCTCTGAGTGAAAAGACCTATGGGGACAGGTAGGAAGAAACCCTTAGATGCTTACTGGTTAAGCCGGCATTTACCGTTTTTTACCTTACATCCCAATAGTGTTCCCCTACGAACCTCCTTTTTGGTATTGTAGTAGGGCTGATGGGGAAGACAGTGATCTACTCTGAGTGGGCAATGTAGTAGATAGAAAAGAGCGCAACTCAAAATTTCTCCCTAGATCTACTTATGTTTGGGAGCCTGGTCCACCTCTGTCCAGGGCTACTCTTTCCCTTCTTTACCAAATCATAACCACCTTCTGACGCCCCAGGGTTTCTGCTGGTTTTCTTTTCTTTTATAATATTCATTCATTTTTTTTATACTTGCTTTTTCTCCCCAATCCCCCTAGTACATAGTTATATATTTTAGTTGTGGGTCCTTCTAGTTGTGGCATGTGGGACACTGCCTCAGTATCGCCTGAAGAGCAGTGCCATGTCCGTGCCCAGGATCCGAACTGGCGAAACCCTGGGCCACCGAAGCAGAGTGCACAAACCTAACCATTTGGCCACAGGGCCAGCCCCCGATTCATTAATTTCTTATTTATTTTATTTTCTTTCCTTTCCTTTTTTTTTTTTTTTTTGAGGAAGATTAGCCCTGAGCTAACATCCGCTGCCAATCCTCCTCTTTTTGCTGAGGAAGACTAGCCCTGAGCTAACATTGTGCCCATCTTCCTCTGCTTTATATGTGAGACTCCTACTACATCATGGCTTGTCAATCGGTCCCATGTCCGAACCCAGGATCCGAACTGGTGAACCCCAGGCCGCCGAAGTGGAATGTGCACACTTAACCACTGTGCCACCAGGCTGGCCCCTCATTTCTTATTTCTGAAGCATCTTTGGGTTTGGGTTGGGGGAGGTAGACTGTGCCACATTGCCATCATGTGAGGGGCCACGTCATGTCTCTTTTATGACAGCCTACCCCAGTGTCTGTTGAAGCTTTATGTTTCTAGTAATCTAGAGCAGAAGATATTCTTTCTTGAGTGGTCATAGTAGTAGCCTGGAAATGAAGATGTTTAACCTAAAGAACTACAGGCAGAACATAAAAGCAAAGGATAGGGGACCAGCCTGGTGGCGTAGTGGTTAAGTTCATATACTCTTTGGCAACCCATGGTTCGTAGGTTCAGATCCCAGGTGCGAACCTGACACCACTTGTCAAGCCACGCTGTGGTGGTATCCCACATAAAATAGAGGAAGGCTGGCACAGATGTTAGCTCAGCAACAACCTTCCTCAAGCAAAAAGAGGAAGATTGGCCACAGATATTAGCTCAGGGCCAACCTTCCTCACATACACACACACAAAAAGCAAAGGATAGACAAAGTAATATATATACATGAAGGAGAGCAAATAGGCATTTTACTGAAATATTGAAATTTATTTTCAACATGCTTGTGTTTAATTCTACAGTCACTTAGGAGTCTTCTTAAACCTGGAAATAAGACAAGGAAATCTTATTATGAATTGCTCTTAAACGCATTTGTGGGAATATAGATGACTCATTGGGAAAATAAGAGTGCCTCTAGAACTCACAAAGTTAAACTAGTGAAATTGATATGTAATCTGTATTTATAGAAGTCACCTTAACAAGGCAGAATGTCTCCCAGGACCAGGATCAGGAAGGGCAGGGCTTGGCAATAGCTTATTACTTATTAAACAGTATTCTTATGCCTAGATTTAGAGACAATGGTTGTTATTTATGGGCCTGATCTTGTCTATATTTTCCAAATTTTCTATGATGAACATACATTACTTTCGTAATGGGAAAAAAAAAATTATTTTGGGGCCAGCCCGGTGGCACAGCAGTTAGGTCTGCACATTCCTCTTCATCTGCCGGGGTTCCCTGGTTCGGATCCTGGGTGTGGACATGGCACTACTAAGTAAGCCATGCTGTGGCAGGCGTCCCACATATAAAGTGGAGGAACATGGGCATGGATGTTAGCTCAGGGCCAGTCTTCCTCAGCAAAAAGAGGAGGATTGGCAGCAGTTAGCTCAAGGCTAATCTTCCTCAAAAAAAAATTATTTTATTGGAATTTTCATAGGAAAATCATCATATAAATTTACAAACTTGTGCAAGGATATTTGCTGCAACATTGTTTGTAATGTTAAAAAGATCCAAATTTTTATTAATAGGAGAACAGGTCAATAAATTATGATAGATCTATGCAATGAATATCATGCAATCAACAAAAATGATGTGAGCCTATTTTAGTATAGAAAGATTTCAAAGATGGACTGTTCAGTGAAACACAAAGCAGGTTTTAAAAAACATATTCAATATGAGCCCATTTTTTTAACTAAAAAGTGCACAGAAGTTTTTTGAAAAATATATGCAAGAAGTTTCTACTCCATCCTAACAACAGGTAAAAAGTTGAACAAACTGAAAAATCAACAACTCTTCTTACATCCTTCAGAGAAGTGAGGTCGCAGGGCAAACCATTGCCCCCCAAATTAGGCAGTACAGAAAATCACAACTTACGGGTGCAGAAACTCACAAGCAGAAACTTCTGCAGGAACCAGCGCCTGGTTCCTAAACTAACTGATAAGTTGCTGGAAGCTCAGTATGTACAAGTCTGAAAATTAAAAACTCCAGGGAGACCAAGTCAAAAGGACCTCCAGAAACCCTATCGGGTCCTCACAGTGACGACTGGAGAAAAATCCCCTCCTGTTTCTCTTAGAGAAGGAGGAAAGTATATTTTGGAATACACCAGAGCATTCTGTTCTTCTTGACAAGGCATGCACTCAAGAGAAACTATTTTACCAGGTGCTGGGGTTTTATCAGTGCCTAACCTACTTGGAGGAAGGGAAATACCCAAGTCTAGTTGGCTCTAGCCTTCCACATGGGGGAAGGGAAATACCCAATTCCAGCTCTCTCTAGCCATCCTGTCCCACCTAAGGTGGAGAGGTGGTAGCTGAAAAGCACTGGTAAAGTTCACAGTCCAGAGGCATAGGGTCTTCAAAAGACTGAGACCTAATCATAGGACTATAAAATCTTTCCTTTACTGCCATACCTTACCACTACACCACTAAAGGCCTATTTACCAGAGTTCCTTTCATCTAGTACATCATGTCTGGATCTTAACAAAAATTACAAGATGTACTAAAAGGCAAAAAATACAGTTTGAAGAGACTGAACAAGCATCAGAACCAAAGTCAGATATAGTAGGGATGTTGGAATTATCAGGCAGGGAATTTAAAACAGCTATCATTAATATGCTAAGGACTTGATAGAAAAAGTAGACAGCACGCAGGAACACATGGATAATGTAAACAGAGAGATGGATATTCTGAGAAAGAATAAAAATGAAATGCTGGAGGTAAAAAACACTGTAACAGAAATGAAGAATACCTTTAATGGCCTCATTAGTAGACTAGACATGGCCGAGAAACAAATCTCTGAGCTTGAGTATGTGACAATGGAAACTTCCAAAACTGAAAGCAAAGAGAAAAAAGACTGAAAAAACCAGAACAGAATATTCAGAAACTGTGGGACAACTACAAAAGGTGTAACGTGTAATGGGAATACCAGAAAGAGAAGAAAGAAAGGAACAGAGCAATATTTGAAGCAATAATAATGGAGAATTTCTCCAAAATAATGTCAGGCACAAAACTACAGAAACAGGAAACTCAGAGAACACTAAGCAGGACAAATGCCAAAGAAACTACTCTCAAGCATATCATACTTAAACTTCAGAAAAATCAATGTAAAAAAATCTTGAAAGAAACCAGAGAGGAAAAAAACGCCTTACCTATAGAGGAGCAAAGAAAATAATTATATCCAACTTCTCAGAAGCCATGCAAGCAAGAGAGGAGTATAATATTTAAAGTCTTGAGAGAAAACTACCAGCTTAGAGTTCTGTATTATGCAAAATTATCTTTAAAAAGTGAAGGAGAAATAAAGACTTTCTCAGACAAATAAAATTTGAGGGAATTTGTAGCCAGTAGACCTGCCTTGCAAGAAATGTTAAAAGAAGTTCTTCAGAGAGGGAAAATGGTATAGATCAGAAATTCAGATCTACATAAAGATAGGAAGAGCATTGGAGAAGGAATAGATGAAGGTAAAATAAAAGGTTTTATTTATCTTAATAGATCTGGCAGATAATAGTTTGTTCAAAATAATAGCAACCATGTATTCAATTATATATATATATATGTGCTTATGTTTAAGTAAAGTGGATGACAGATGATATAAGGGATGGGAGGGAATATTTTATTATAAAATACTAGCACTACTCATGAAGTGTTATAGTATTATTTGAAAGTGGATATGGATTAGTTGTAAATGTATAGTACAAACTCTAGAGCAACAACCAAAAAAAGTAATAAAAGAAGTATAACTGATATGCTAGGAAAGGAGAGAAAATGGAATTATAAAATCTCAATTGAAACCACAAAAAGCAGAAAAAGTGTGGAAGACAAAAATAGGAACAAAGAACAAAGGCAATAAATAGAAAACTCTAACTAACATGGTAGCTATTAATCCAACTATATCAATAATCACTTTAATGACTTTTAAATGTCAGTGATCTAAATACATCAATTAAAAGACAGAGATCGTCAGATCCAAAAACAAGACCCAACTATATGTTATCTATAAGAAACCTACTTTAAACATAAAGGCACATAGATTAAAAGTAAATGGATAGGGAAAAAATCACCATGCTAGCAGGAGTAGCTATATTAATTTCAGACAGAGCAGACTTCAGAGCAAGGAAAGTTATCAGGGATAAAGAGGAGTATTACATAACGATAAAGGGGTCAATAGTCCAAGATGACATAATAATCCTTAAAGTTTGCCTAACAAAAGAGCAAAAGAGCATCAAACTATGTGAGGCAAAAACTATAGAATTGCAAGGAGAAAGAAATAAATCCACTACTATAGTTGGAGACTTTAACACCCCTCTATCAGAAGTAGACAGATCCAGCAGGCAGAAAATCATTGAGGATATAGTTGAACTCAACAGCATCGTTAATCAACTGGATATAATTGATATCTCCAGAATACTTTACTCAACAACAGCAGATTACACTTTCTTTTCAAGCTCTTCTCTTTCTATTCACGAAGATAAACCACATTCTGGGCCATAAATCACACCTTAACAAATTTAAAATAGAAATCATACAGTGTCTGCCCTCAGACCACAATAGAGTTAAACTTGAAATCAATAACAGAAAGATAGCTGGAAAATCCTAAATTATGTGAAAATTAAGCAACACATTTCTAAATAACGCATGGGGCCAAAGAAGAAATCTCAAGAGAAGTTTAAAAATTTTTTGAACTAAATGAAAATGAAAATACAATTTATCAAAATTTGTGGGATGTAGCAAAAGCAGTACTTAGAGGAAAATTTATAGCACTGAATGCACATACTAGGGAAAAAAAGATCTTAAATCAATAAATCTAAGCTTCCTCCTTGGGAAACTAGAAAAAGAAGAGCAGATTCAATTCAAAGTAAGCAGAAGAAAAGAAATACAAGAAATTAGAGCAGAAATCAATAGAGAAAATCAACAAATTTAACTGGGCATCTTGTATTTTGTCTGGCAACCTTACTCACCCCTCAACCTTGTGTTTATGTTGTTTAGAGTCACATATGTAGATAAAGTACAAAGCCAAATGTGTAGGAATAATAATATCAAGTTCAGGATTGTGGTTTCTAAGGACTAAAAAGAAGAAAAATGCCATTGGATAGGAGTACGCAGGGAAGTTCACTCTTATGTGTGTTTGTATTATGTATTTTTACTTTTTGGGTTTTTCCTTTTTTAAAGAATATATTTTATTTCTTAAGCTTAGTGTTGCATATGCAGATGTTTTTTATATTACTATGCTTTTTGTTGTCTGGAATATTTGTAATAAATATTTAAAAATTTTCAATAGCCCTCTAGATAAAGTCCAGAAAACCTAACATGGACTGTAAACATCTTCTTGGTTTCTCTGGCCCTGCCTACCTCTCTAATCTTGCCACTTCCAGTTTGTATACAACAGTTTGGCCATGCTGACCAATTTTCCTCAAAAGACCTCTGGGCCTTTGCCATTCCCTCTCTCCAGAACAGTCAGTCTTTGCCCCGAACCTTCCTCTTGTTGTTAGTCTCCACTTAATTGTCAGTGTCTTTAGGAACATTTCTCTGGCACTTTATCTATGTCTGGGTTGAGTACTGTGTAATTCCAGAACATTCAGTACTTTCACCATCACTTACCATTTATTCACACCGTATTGGAATTCCTGACTTCTCTGTATCTCCCATTAGAATATAAACTCTCATAGTGTAGAGACTGTGCCACACTTACCCTAACATCCCAGAGCCTAGTGCCTGGTACTAACAGGTTCTCAATAAATATTTGCTGTAGGAATTAATTAGTTAATTAATGATAGGCTGGTTTATTTAACATTCTTGAGGCATGTTATAATTTTATTTTTAATGTGAATCCTGTTA